GTGTTGCATATTTCTGAACTGCTTCGAGTAGCTGTCAAGTTGCACAGAAATTATGCAACTAGTTGCATGAAAGCTTACCGCCTACACTGTTAGTAATAAAGGTTCTGTGAAGGTACATTTTTCATTCAACAAAGTAAGTGTTCCCTCGAAAGTACAACAGTGGTTTTAAGGTCTGATTGTGAACCTTAAATACGTTTTCCAGGTGAAAAGTTCGTATTTGTACCTTTTCATAACCGAATGTTTTAAAACAGAACAGTAAAATAAAAGCCTGGAGACGAGACGGGGTGTGTGGAGTCAGTACAGCTTAGAAAATATAATTTCAATGGATTATGGTTCAGTTATGTTCCCTGACTAAAGGTACTGAGATGGACCCTTGAGGGAACCACCCCAGTGAGATGAGGGGTACTGCTCCAGTGACAGTTTACTACCTTTATTTCTGAAAGTGTAAAGCCAGCCTAAAGGGTTAACAAAGGATGAAGCTTCTGAATACAAAATAAGGAAATGAATATCAGTATTACATTTAAATCCTCGAGTATTTTGGGCCGACTCTACTAAAAACAAATCAAACGGGCTGAAGTGATTCATTTATTATACTAGTGATTAATGGAGTAATCAAGCAGTCTGAGTATTTACAGAAGGACAAACAATAAAAATGGACTCAACTGAACAATAACCAGCCATGCAAAGATAACAGTGTGTGAAAGAAAGTGAGAGAGAAACAGAGAGAGAAAAAGATACGAGAGAGATAGAAAATAGAAAGAGAGAGAGATAAGCTTGGTGCTACAGATGGTAACTCAGTGGGCCCGTCGCACTTTGGCATTGTGGAAGTGAACCTCACTGAGACTGGGCTGGAATTACATTTGGCACCAAATTCCCATAACTCTGTGATCATGTGGCCTTTTCTTCTATGCTGACTCTCTTGGTACATCCTATACGCTACAAAAGGGCCTTAATGTGATGGCCAAATATCAAATTAGCCCCTTTACATCAAATATAGTTGATAAGCCAAGTCATGTTTGGTGTCTGCTGTTTGCTTCTTTAGTTTTAGCACCGAAGCTGCAAGGCTAATGTAGCTTACAGTGGAGGATATAGCACTTAGCTGTTAGCATGGTGCTAACTGCATGCCTAAATCATCACACGCTCGCCTCAAACAGTGTGGAGGTGTTTATTAATCTCTAATAGACTAGATTCTGTGGTTTCTGACACTGTATGATACACTGTTCTCTATAAACGTGGACTAAAGTACAGGCAAAGGTGCTGCTACTGTTCTTAGCTATGCTAATGTGCTTCTGTCCTTTTTAATAGATAACAGTTTGTCATACAGAGTCAGAAACCACAAAATCTAGTATATTAGAGATACTGAACACCTCCACACGGTTTGAGACGACTGTGTGACGGTTTACTTTGAATAATGCTAACAGCTGAGCTCTAAGCTTCATTTGTTTGTTAGCTGCATTAGCCTCGTAGCTCTAGTGCTGAGACTAACGGAGCAAACCTCACCAAACGTGTCTCGGCTGATCGACTACATTTGAGGTAAGGATGGGTTTACATGTGCACCCAGACCCATTTCATCATGTCACTCTCTCCCTCTCTTCCTCTGCTTCACTCTCTCTATCACTGACGTGCTAAAGCACCAGCCGTGAAGCCGAAAAACATTAGCAGCAATTTCTCAATCATGTTCAAATATAATTACACCTCTGCCCAGCCTGCAAAAGCCTGGTCTCAGACGGAAAAACTGGAAAAAGAAAAAACAAAAAAAATATCGAATATGTCTGCATGACGAGTGTTAAAAATGCTGAAGGGGAATTCCACTGATTTTTCAAATGTCTGCATAATTCAATCATTTGAAGTAAACTGATGATTCAAAGTGGTTTTACGTGAAACGCTCCACTGTAGAGAAACTTACTGACTCAGATTTCTCTACAGTCGTGGTGATAGGAACCAGGCATCACAGTGCCATAACACAAAGATATCCATTTTATTTACTGTCCACAACCACCAGTGTCTCCTGAGGTTTTATATGTAATGCTGATGATGGTAAAATTGTGGAAAATCTGAAAACAATAAGGTTTCTTCCAGGACTATTTTGCCTCACAACAACTTGCAAATATCTCTCCATGATGAATGTGCTTTTACAAATACTACATTTTAGGCCAAAAGCTTTGTGGAACTATCATAAAACAAATAAAACAATGTCTCAGACATCAGGAAACATATTCATAACCATGTAGTAACTTTCTGTGAGGGAGCTTTTAGAGGTGGACGTCTGGTTCCCACCACCACCACTGTGAAGAGTTTCACACCAAACCACTCAGAATGACTCTGTTTACATCTTAACCACTTAGTTATGCAGACATTTATATATATTAAATGCATATTTATATAAATATATATATATATATATACATACACACACACACACACATCTTCTAAACCGCTTATCCTTACATACACCCTGGACAGGTCACCAGTCCATCACAGGGCAGACAGACAGACATACACATTCACTCACACACTCACACCTAGGGGCAATTTAGCATCTCCAATTAAACTGACTGCATGTCTTTGGACTGTGGGAGGAAACCCACGCAGACATGAGGAGAACATGCAAACTCCACACAGTAAGGACCCTGGTCGCCCAGCCCGGGAATCGAACCCAGGCCCTTCTTGCTGTGAGGCGACAGAACTACCCACCGTGCCAAAAAATAAATGTAAATAAATAAATAAATATAAATATATAGATCTATACACACACATATGTGTGTGTGTGTGTGTGTGTGTGTGTATGTGTGTATGTGTGTGTGTGTTTTCAGGCTGTGACCATTGGAAAATGCTTATACAGTCAGCAAAATAGCTGGTCAGTCAGTGAAAAAAAACAGAAACACTAAATATTACAACACGTCTGCACTGTGAGGGACAAACATATTTCCATCACTATTACCTTTATCACAATTTACCTTGAATTCCTAATAGTAACAACACCATTCAGGTCACACAACCTCAGAGACAGTAACAGTCTGGCCAAAAATCAAATATCCCTCTGACCTCACAGAGTACAGTCAATCAGCCATGATGTGTTTGGAAGTTTGCTTCTTTGATTTTACACTTGAGCTACAAGGCTAATGTAGCTAACATGTAATGGAAGCTTACATATACCAGTTAGCATGGTGCCTAAATCATCACACACTCACCCTCAAACCATGAGTTCTTCAGTATCTCTAACAGACTTGATTATGTGGCTTCTGACACTGTATGATAAACTGTTATCAATAAACATGAATTAAACAATGCTGATTGGTGGTGTATATGCTCCCATGAATGCACTGATCATGAATTTTAATAGCTAGTTCTAACTGCGATTTCTTTACAGACAAATTGGCTGATGCACGATTTTTATTAGCCTTTTGTTAATTTTGTTCTTTATGGGCCAAACTGGCATATAACGTTTCAAATTTAAGTCAGTTGCCTATTTAAATAAAGGGACTCAAATAAAGTGCTACACTGAAATTAAGAGGCGATTGGCTGTTCAGCACAATGAGCCATGTATAATTACACTACGACATTTTGGTTCAGGTGTAGCAGCAGCCTGAGTGCGCTTACCTGTCTCGCCGTTTTTACCACATAGAACTGACCACAGATCAGAAAAAAATCTAAACAATATACTGGCCAATTGCTGATTTCATGTTCTGAAATGTGTTGATTCCAATCGTGGCTGATTCTGATCGTGCATCCCAACTATTAGCCTCGTAGCTCCAGTGTAAAACTAAAAAAGCAAAGTTCAGACACCAAACATGTCTTGGTTTATGGACGACATTTGGGGTCAGGCAGGAAATTGGGTAAATTAAGATGGACATATCAGATCAGGCTAGACTAGAACTACACTCTCAAACTCTAGACTGGACAAACGACAGCAGAAAACAGAGCATCCCAAACAGGTACGAGTCTCAGATTAGGTCAAGCAAGCAAAAAGAAAAGTTCCCAGTGCAGACTGGGGAATTGTCTGTTGGTCTGACGGTATGAATATAGACCCCTCTATTCTGCCACAGTAACAAAGCCCAGACCGGTCTGATACAGGCCAGAACAGGTCAGCACAGGCAAAACCAGGTCACTATCATCTTCTGTCTCTCTCTCTCTCTCCCTGTCTCTCTCTCTCTGTACACACTGTTATTAACCATTAGACTTTTCACCTTTTCCGTCTAGTCACTGGCCACTCAGTTCAGCACACTCTAAATAAAACCTTACCCTGTCTGACCCAGTTTTTCAGATAAATTACTCATTTTTTTATCTTCCACAATTTGTTGCACTATTCAAATTTGCCAGCTTTACTGTGCTGATCACTCTGACCTTACACTCTGACATGCAATCTATCAGCAATCACACACGTGTATATATATATACATACGTATATGTGTGTATATATATATATATATATATATATATATATATATATATGACATGATATGTAAAAATAACGTGCCCATATGCATATTAGACAAACAATCAAACAAGACCACCCTTCCTTTATTTAATTCTAATTTTAGAAGCTGGTTGATCATTTTCTGAAGTAATCAGAAATTGTTCAGCTTCTTTGTTTGATGTGTCCGTCTCCTTTTCTCAGTGAGGTTCTTCTTGACAGCTACACATCCTTTCAGACCCACAGTGCTGAGTCGTCTTCTCACAGTGGAAGGATGGACAGAAACACCTGTGGATGTTTTCAGATCTGAAGCAGCTTGATTTTCTCCTCTCTCTCAAAGATGAAAGCTTTAAGTGCTGTTTATCTGATGGGGGCAGATTTGGTGTCTGCCAGGTCTTGCATAGTTGTCTGTATTTTTTAATGTCTTACTATCCAGTTTATATCTAATCTCCTCGGAAATATCTCCTGAAAATGAACAGCTCGTACTTAATGGCTGTTTTGACTGGAAATTAAATAAACGAAGGGGGGGTCTTTGACGTCTGCACACTACTGTAAGTGCGTATATGTGTTTGTGCGGGTGCTGTACCTGTGGCAGTGCGATGGAGAGTTGTCTCTGCAGTGAGTCTTTCTCGTGGCCCAGTTCTCGTAGCCGCAGCTGAGCGGTTCCCAGACTCTCCTGCGTCTCTCTCAGACTCTCCAGCAGCCGCTCTCTCTCCGTCAGCATGTTCACCATCAGACTCTCCAGATTCCCTGTACTGCCTCCTTCATCACCGCCTCGAGACTCACGGCCTCCGTACCCACCCATACCCCCCATCCCACCGCCCATACCCCCTCCGCTGCCGGCCGGAGAGGACGGACCCCCGCCGCCTCCCCCACGTCCATCCTCCGATATGGTGGGCATCACTTCACACATCATCCTGAGGCCGGAGAGTGGGCGTAGGAGTGTAGGAATGTATGTGTGGGGTCCCTATAAGGCCTGTAAAAAGTGCTTGGCCCCCTAAATTCTACTATCCAGTATTATGAATTAATCAGTAACAACAATGAAATGTAAAAAGTGTTGAACCTCTTAAACTGCAGGCGTATTATTCAGTTACTAATGGTAAGGCTTACTATCCAGTAACTGCTTTGAATTATTCAGTATGTACTGGAGTTTAAGGGCTTAGCAGCGTGTCGCAAAGTGTCTGCACATGCATGTGTCAGTGTGGGTGTGTGCATTTGTGAGGGAATGAGGAATGTATTAGCACTTGGTCATGTGTGTGTGTGCTTGTCTGTAGGAGGTGCTCAGGAAGTTTGTGACACACTGTGAGCGTTTCTCCCTTCTGCTCTCCTTTCTCGCACTTTCGAGCAACACCTCTGTCCAAACGTCTTCAAAGATGGACATTCACAAGCTCTTGAGTTTCTCTCCTTTTCTTCAAATCATCCATCTTTCTTTGTTTTTCTTTGATTTCCCAGTCCTAGTCCTAGTCCCAGTCCCAGTCACACCTGAGGTACACCCCGAAGCTCTACCCTTCAATTATCTTTGTTTGGGTGGAGAATGCGGGCACAGTCTAGTTCTTCAACCGAAGAACGAAAGCAGCAGAAGAAGGCAGGAGAGGTCAGGTGGGTTTCCGAGGAGCAGGTTTTGAAGCCTGTGAGAGAGCTGTGGAGAACAGGAGGAAAGGATTAGGACTGGAATCACCTTATTGCCAGAGTTCTCTTTACATGCACATGCTTAAAAAAGCTGCCACTGAACCACTTTTGGTTCCCTGAACAACCCTGTTTGAAAAAATATTTGTGAGTGAAGAACCTCTTAAAGGCCTAAATAACCTTTATGTAACTTAAAAGTTCTATACCTTCTATACATAATATATGTCTATCCGAAACTCCTCCCAGTACAACCGAAACTCCACCCTGTACAACCGAAACTCCTCCCAGTACAACTGAAACTCCCCTCAGTACAACCGAACTCCCCCTCGTACAACCGAAACTCCTCCCAGTACACCCGAAACTCCCCCAGTATAACCAAAATCACTCCCAGTACAACCAAAACTCCTCCCAGTACAACCACAACTCCCCCTAGTACCACCGAAACTCCACCTAGTACAACCAAAACTCTTCCCAGTACAACCGAAACTCCCCCTAGCATAACCGAAACCACTCCTAGTACAACTGAAACTCCTCCCAGTACAACCAAACTCCCCCTAGTACAACCCAAAACTCCCCCAGTACAACCCAAAACTCCCCCAGTACAACTGAAACTCTCCCTAGTACAAACAAAACTCCTTTCAGTGCAACCAAAACTCCTCCCAGTACAACTAAAACTCCCCCTAGTATAATCAAAACCCCTCCCAGTACAACCGAAACTCCTCCCAGTACAACCGAAACGCCCCAGTACAACCGAAACTCTCCCTAGTACAACCAAAACTCCTCCCAGTGCAACTGAAACTCCTCCCAGTACGACTAAAACTCCCCCTAGTATAATCAAAACCCCTCCCAGTACAATCAAAACTCCCCTAGTAAAACCGAAACTCCCCCTAGTATAATCAAAACCCCTCCCAGTACAAACAAAACCATTCCCAGTACAACTGGAACTCCTTCCAGCACAACTGAAACCCCTCCCAGTACAACCCAAACTCCTCCCCATGCAATACGTCACCAGGCACATGATCCATGTCTATGAGAAAGATAATCATGTCGCAAGTCGCACATGGTTCCTTTAAGTCTGAAGAAATGCACAATGGCATGCAAAAAAACAAAAGTAGTTCATGCCATTGCACAAGGAAACCTTACTGGCAATATAGAAAGAGGTGGAGTAAATAAAAAACCCCAAACAGAAACGAGGTGTTCAGATACAAAATGAAAGACTCTCTGATGCTAAACTATTAACGGGCAGCAGAGATGAAGGCATAAAAGATTTGTGTTTATTCAATATACAGAAACACATGCTGCACATTCAAACTACAGGTTTGTACTGACTAAATCTGAGCATGTTTTTCTTTCAAGCGGTTGAAAGGGCAGATTCCATGCCACATTACTGATAATATGTGGAAGAGGAGATTTTTTATTATGATTTGAATTCAAAGGAAAGTTACTGTCCTATATTTTTCCATGTCTCTGTCATTTGACACTGAAACAAACAGAAAAACCTTGTTGATTCTTGTATGTAACGACGCAACTGCAAAATATGTGAAACTAACAAAATGTATGTAAATAACAGTGCAATTCATTATGTAATTAAGTGATAACATTTCAGTTATATAGCTAGGGGTGGGCGATACTACAATACCTCACTATATTTCCATGATACAAATCACGATATTTAGTTTTTATAACGTTTGATAAGTTGGAACAAACAAAAATGAGTAAATATGACCCTGTTTACACCTGGACACTTCATGCATCTTGAGTACCAGGCTAATATCTGGAGGCCAAGCCACATAAAAATGCAAGTGTAAACAAACCCAAGAAGCATTTAAAACAGATATAAATCCGATCACTCAGACCACTTTAGGACATGGACTAAAAGATGCATTTGAGCCTCATGTTATAGCAGGTAAACACATCCTCTCCCCAAGACACATTCAACAGCAAAAATCCTACCAGTACAACCGAAACTCCTCCCAGTACAACTGAAACTCCACCTAATGTAACCAAAACTCCTCATATTATGACCGAAACTCCCCCTAGTATAACCAAAAACTCCTCCCAGTACAACCGAAACTCCCCCTAATATAACCAAAACTCCTCATATTATGACCGATACTCCCTCTAGGACAACCAAAACTCGCCCTAGTATAGCCAAAACTTCTCCCAGTACAACTGAAACTCCCCCGGTATACCCGAAACTGTTCCCAGCACAAATGAAATTCCTCCCAGTACAGCCAAAACCCCCCCTGTATAACCAAAACCCCTCCCGGTACTACTAAAACACCTCCCAGTACAACCGAAACTCTGCCTATTACAACCAAAACTACGCCCAGTACACCTGAAACTCCCCCTAGTACAACCAAAACTTCTCCCAGTATAACCGAAACCCCTCCCCATAGAGCACCTCACTGGGCATGTGATCCGTGTCTGTTTTGAAGATTATCTTTGAGGATACACATGATTCCCCTAAGTTTGAAGAAATGCACAATGACATGCAAAATTGCAAATTTCGAGGCAGCAACCATCTTTAGCACAGCACAGAACGAGGCTGAACGGAATAACAATTGGTAATTGGTTGTCGCCTAACGAGTGGATTTGCATATTCCATCCCACAGTAATCATAAATCAGTCCGACTAACTAGTGACTCCCAAGTGTAAACGCATGTGACTAAAATCTTACCAGGATGCAATCCAGATACTAGTCACATGAAGTGACCAGGTGTAAACGGCCTCTATGCTTTCTTTATAATGAAATATACTGCTGGTCAGAGTTCTTTAGTACAGAGTACTTTAAGTGCTGATATACATGATATATGATGATATATCACAATAAATGTCATATTGCAAAGGCCTTAGTACACACTCGACTTCTCAGGGTATAGATGTTTAAGAGCTATGGTAGTAAAACAGACCATGTCAACCTGTGTCACGTTTAAATACACAGAAATTCTTACAGGTATGTGCTACTGACTGAACCTGAAGGTGTAGCTTTCTAGCAGTAAAACAACAGGTAAGATAACTGGACTACACAGTTAGGAGGGACAAAGCAGCTAAAACTCCAAGCCTGTGGCCTGACACTGTCTCAAGAAGCTAACTGACCCAAAGCCACCATAATAACACACAATAAAGGGCTGTAGATACGTGTATTGTTGTATTTATCCTATTTAATCATGTGTCATATCCATCACAATTATTACACACATTTTAGGGGGACGAGAAGCTACATCCTCCTGTGAGAAAGTAAGGAAATAGCCTGGCCAAGCCTGCTAACATGGCTAACAGTGAAAGAAAGTCAGTAGCCACCATTAGCACCCGTGTATTTGCATAATGCTAGTGTGTTTTAATTCAATTTTACCAGCATTAGCGCTGTTGACTGACCTATTCATTTAGCATGACCATCAAAAACGATAGAAATAAAAGGTGTGAGCTACAGTTAGCTTTATATGCAGTGCACTGTCCAGCCACACAGGCCAGGGGTGATGGCTAAGAAAGGCAGCTATAATCTTCAAGTAGGTAGGCCACAGGCTGAGACAGTACCACACAAAAAAGAGGAGGACAAGAAAAGAAGAAGAGAGAATGAAACCCAGCGCTCAAGCTGTCTTATTCCCCAGCTATCTTATTCGAATTCCCCGTTCCACCTTAAATGGACATGTAACTGCTGCAGCATTTAAGGTGGAACGGCACATTCGAAGCCAACTTCAGCTTTATCATCATTGATTTGAGCCAGATGTCTACACAGACATCCAGCTCGGTTTTTTTTCGTACACAAACCCTTATTTTTCAGATGATTTGCACACAGCATAAAGGAAAAAAGCGCTGTCAGCCCCTTATAGCTGTGAATGATTTGCCTGATATTGGCTGGCTCTCCTGTGCAGAGCTGTTAGTCATGAGGCTAATAATGGAGGCGCAGGAGAGAGAGAGAGAGAGAGAGAGAAGAGAGAGAGAGAGAGAGACGGTGGGGCTCAGTGTGTGTATGTGTGTCGACAGACGTGGGGAGGAGATCCACAATGCAAACATACATTTAAAATATATGCAAAATACATTAACATGTCACTGCTCGTTATTAAGGCCAGCGCAGTAACAGTAACAGTACTAGCTGTCAGTGCAAATGGACCGAGAGACAACAATGCCAGTGCAACGAGCGTCAGTCTGCTCCAGTGTGCAGTGCTGAGCGTAATGTTGTGAAGACAGTCTATGTGTGACGTGTTCCCTGTCGGTGCCACAGCTCGCGCGGAATGCACGGATGCACATGCAGTGCGAGGGAAAAAAAAACGATATAATCCAGCTTTATCTGCAATATCGATATTATCCTCCGTGCACGAGGGCCATTCAGACCCCTTTTCCACCCCTTTCCACCCCTTTCCACCCCCCTCCTTACATCAATCCATCTATCCATCCATCCATCCATCCATCCTTATCCTCACAGCTGGGCGACAACACACACAAACAGGGGAAAAAAGGATAAAGCATGCACGCGCACCCTGCTCATGGTCCAGAATCTCTGCAGGTCATCGTGAACCGGAGCGCCTTTCTCCTCCGGTTTTGTCGTTCTTCCTCTTCTCCTCTCCTCTCCTCTCCTCTCCTCACTCACTCTCTCACTCAGCGCTACACCTCATACACACAATCTCTCTCTCTCTCTCTCTCTCTCTCTCTCTCTCTCTCTCTCTCTCTCTCTCTCTCTCTCCCCCATGCAATAAAGGTGCGCGCGCGGTCTTAAAGAAACCCTTCTCCTATAGGCGCGCGCATGCGCGCACACGCACACACATATACATACACACACACACACACACACGCAGGCTACACACTCGGGCTGCATGTAAACACCTAAGCTATCACCAATAATAATAATAATAATAATAATAATATAATGATGGGTAAAACCTCATACGGGTGTTCTTGGGTTGAACCTGCACCCCCCCCCACCAACAACCCCCCCCTTCATACAAATCTCATCTATAAACAACATCAGTGCTGCTCCGCCGTTACCACGGACAACCGGAGCCTGAGGAGCGCTCTCGCGCGCCACCAGGTGGGTACATATACACACAGGCGCGCTCTGCGTACATATCATATACATACATGCATATGTGCTTAATATATACATATATATACACACACACACACACACACACACACACATATATATATATGTATATGTATATGTATGTATATATATATATATATATATATATATATATATATATATATATATATATATGCATTCACTCCTCATTCCTTAAATGCTTCATAAACTGCAAAAGTTTAGACACCTGAGAAATTTTACTCTGACAGCATTGAGCAGACGCTCTTTTCCACTCAGAGAGCTTAAAAGAGTCCAAACTACCCTTAATCTAAAACACTGAAAACAAGGATCTAATACTGAGAAAGAAAGAGACACAGTACAGAACCAGGACCCAGCAGGCATTGGGGGTCTTCAGTCAGCATCTGAAGACAGCGAGGGGACTCCGCTCTTCGGACAGCCACTGGAAGTTCACTCCACTGCCTGGACATTAAAAAAATCTATTCATCTGCATTGTAACGGTTTATTTGCACAGAAAAAAAACACTAATATTAGAACAAATGTAAATAATATTATAATAAATAGTGATTTGTCAATGGGTTGGTGTAACTACTTCCAAAGCTGTCCTGGAGGAAGCCCAGTATTTACAGTATATACCATTAAATACCTAGTTTACATTATATATGTATTCATAAACTCTGAAGCTAATTCTGTGTGTAAGGCACAAATACTGTGGGTCTCAAAAGTCCCCACCAAATACTGAGAAATTCTGAACTTGCTGATAATATAATTTGTAAAGGAAAATTTTGTATTAAAGGGAAACTCCACCGACTTTTTAAAATTTCTGCATAATTCAAATCAATGAGATCAGAGTCATTCAGAGTGGTTTGGTGTGAAATGGTTCATTGAGACTCAGACGTCTTCACAGTGCTGGCGATAGGAACCAGAGGAATCTCTCAGAGGCATAACTCAGACATCAGGCAGTGAATTCATAGACATTTGATGTTATAACTCTCTGTGAGGGAGCTTTTAGAGGTGGACGTCTGGTTCCTATCACCACCACTGTAAACAATTCTGACTGTAAGTTTCTCTAGAACAGAGCGTTTCACACCAAACCACTCTGAACGACTCTGTTCACATCTTAACCATTTAATTCTGCAAGAATTTTGAAAAATCAGTGGAATTCCCCTTCAAATGAGAAAAGAATGCGAAATAGAAGCATTTTCAGTAGTGGTCTCAGACGTTTGGACCCCCGCTGTATATGTGAAATGCCATAAAGGCATTAATGTCCCAATTAATAATCTCATTTAATTAACACTCACAGTCTTTCCATTTGCTAATTTACTTAAAAAGTGAGCATCATTTGAAATTATGATATAAAAGAACTTCTTCAAGTGGCTCCTATTATCTGATGGCCCACCAGACCTGAATTCACACTACGGGCCAAGCCTTGTGGTCAGCTGTACACTCAACACAATGATTCTATATAGAACCATGAACACATTAACGAATGCTTTGCATGATTAAATGGTTCTCTTCATGGTGAAATGGGTCGTCAGGCTGATGGAGAATGTGTTATATATGATTCTATATAGAACCTTTTTTAAATGGTTCTGCTACTATTTATAGTGTCAAGCCTGTCACAATAGAAGAACCCTTTTTTGGGTGCTATATACATCCCTTTTAAAGAAGGTTCTATATGGAACCATCTATGGCACATCACCATCAATCTGAAGAACCCTTTAATCATGCAAAGGGTTCTTTGAGTGTTCATGGCTCTATATAGAACCATTTTCTTTACTAAAGCACCCTTGAAGAACCATCTTTTCTAAGAGTGAATCTTGACATCGTGACAATAGGGTGCTATGTAGAACCCTTTTCAAAAAGGTTCCATATAGAACCTTTGTATGGTGAAATCATTCTTCAGAATGTGCTGTAGATGGTTCTATAGGGAACCTTTTTGAAAAAGCACCTGCTATTATGTGCAATGTCAAGCTAGTAACAATAGCAGAACCCTTTCTGTTGCTCCATAGAACAATTTCCAAAAATGGTTCTATATAGAACCATATACAACACATTGTTCATCAGTCTAAAGAACCATTCCACCATGCAAAGAACCATTTAAGCATGCAAAAGGTTCTTTGAATGTACATGGTTCTATATAGAACCATTGTCTTTACTAAAGAATCTTGAAGAACCATCTTTTTAAAAGGTGCCATGTTCCATGTTTGTGTTCCCTCTTCAGTATTCAGTATGTGTCTATGGGTTGGTCGCCCCCCCGCGCCCCCCTCTTTCAAATGCAAATCTATTTTCTGCATATTGATCATGGGAATCTCACCGTGACGTCATCTGGAAAATGCACGGCCAGACGGGAAGAGGACCAATCAGGACGAGCCACAGGGGGCCTCTCAGCCAATGCGAGCCAAGAGGAGGCGGGGCCAGCGCGCTGATAAGGAGCCAATGGTAGAAAGTGAGGGTGAACAAGTGCGGGCGCGCGCGTGTGTGTATGTGTAGAGAGGAGGGGTGTGGGGGGCGCAGTAGGGTGGGGTAGCGCGAGAAGCGTCCCGAAAAGAGATGACGTAATGTGGTTTTAGAGGATGATGTCATCTCCATGCACACGGAAAAACGGGGGGAGGGGGTTTAAAGACGCACGTGAGGGGCCGTGCGAGGACACAGTCGCGTGTTGGGGGCAGGTTTTCCTCATTTAGTTCCCCTTTTATTTTTAGGCTTTGCAGCAACATTTCGCCCCAGTTTTCGTCCAAATGGACCAACAAATCAGCCCATAAACACAAACACACGCTCCAGTCTGAACGCGCGCGCTCCAATTATCAGATTATCACCCGGCGTTAACGACGCAGCGCTCCGTCGTTACATCAGCAGTGTTAACTGACCGGCTCTCCGTCCACGCAGCTGATTCTCGCAGCAGCAGCATCTCTTGTAGCCGCGGTTGCCATGGCAACAGAGGCAGCACCGCGACCGGAGCTGTTTAGGAGCTGCAGCATCACCTCCTTCCAGCCCAGAGAGAGAGAGAGAGAGAGAGAGAAGGAGACAGACAGAGAGAGAGAGAGAGAGAGAGAGAGAGAGAGAGAGAGAGAGAGAGAGAGAGAGAGAAGGAGAGACAAAGAATGTTGGGAGAGGGAGGGATTAAAACAGAGAGATGGGGAGAGAAAGAAAGAAAAAAAGAAAGAGTTCGGGAGATGAAGAGATAAAAAAGAGAGGGTTCGGGAGAGAAGAGAGAAAGAGAAAGAGGGGGGGGTTGGGAGAGAACAGAGAAGGAGAGAAGGTTGGGAAGAAGTAGAGGGAGAGAGAGTTTGGGAGAGAGAAAGAGAGACAGGGTTGGGGGAGAGGAGAGAGAGAGAGAGAGAGACACAGAGGGGATTTGGAAGACGATAGAGAGAGAGAGAGAGTGAGAGAGAGAGAGAGACAGAGGGAATTTGGGAGACGATAGAGAGAGAGAGAGAGAGAGAGAGAGAGAGAGAGAAGGATGGGGGAAGCCCTTTACAGAGAAACTGGGACACAGCCTCCTTTTTACTGACTCTCACTGGGGTCAGGGAAAGGTCAGGGTCAGAGGTGATGGCAGTGTGGACAGCAGTGCTGCTCTTTCTTTCTCTCAAAATCAATGCATTAATTTAAACAGCACAGTTTTGAGTTATCGCTCCTTACATGTTTAGAGCACAGAGATCAGTTAAAGGGCCCGTAAATATGTATATATCTTTCTGTCTGTCTCTCTCTCCCTCTCATATATATATATAACACTGAAAAATTAATATTCTTCATTTTTTCAAATTGATTTATTTTGGAAACATGTTTTTAAAAACACACCGTTCACAGCTCAGTCTGTTCAGCCCACATATGGAAACTAAGCTGCGATTTTGAATAAACTGCTTCTGTGATTTCACAAAAAAAAACACTGCACATATTTGCCTATTCAGCAGTTTAGCTCCGCCCACTCATGCTGAAGATATAAGCAGTGTTTCAGTTCAGAGTGTGTTTTAAATGAGGCAGCCAGTCAGAATGGGGTTCATTCGCATATTACAGTCCTAAAAGTGCAATTTCTGAGATTTTTAGCTTCCAAAACTAAAATCATCCACAGAATGTGAAGAAATAACAGTTTTGACGTTATTTCAAAGACGTATATGTATCACATCTGCTGAAGTCTCTATTTCCCCCATTATATGAAAAACAGGACCGCAGAACAGCAGAGGGCACCTGTGATCCTGAATGGGGGTGAGTGGAGCTAAAAGGCTAAAAACGGGAAGTTAAAATAGTTTCTAATCAATCTAGTCAATCAGAACTTTCCTTTAATTTCAGAAAGTAGAACTAAAAAAGAAAAGAAAACTCACCTGTTTCCTCTTCTCTACAGCAAACAGGTTTTGGGCAGCAGGACGCTAACATTACTGCTACTGAGTGCTGATTGCTTAGCATTACTGCTACTGAGTGCTGATTGCTTAGCATTACTTCTACTGAGTGCTGATTGGTTAGCATTACTGCTACTGTGTGCTGATTGGCTAGCATTACTGCTGCTGAGCGCTGATTGGTTAGCATTACTGCTACTAAACGCTGATTGGTCAGCGTTACTGCTACC